TGCTTGCATATCTCTCTATCTCGTAGATCATCGCAAACGTACAAAAATTCCTCTAACGACAGTTAAAATGCCACAAGTACCCTTTCCCAGTCACCCGGGATGAAGTAGAAACTGAAGAGCGGTTTTCTGGTAAAATGGAACCCCAGTTAGATGAAGTGGAGCTAGAGAATTTTTCTGATGTCGAGGAGGAGGTGGAGGAGGAGAAGGAGGAAGTGGAGGAGGAGGAGGAGGAGGAGGAGGAGGAGGAGGAGGAGGAGGAGGAGGAGGAGGATATTGAAAGGGTGGAAGAAGAAGAAGTGGAAGAGGAGGAGGAGGAAGAAGAGGAGGAGGAAGAAGAAGAGGAGGAGGAAGAAGAAGAGGAGGAGGAGGAAGAAGAGGAGGAGGAAGAAGAAGAGGTGGAGGAAGAGAAGAAGATGAAGGACAAAAAAGAGGTAGAGGAAGAGGAGGAGGAAAAGGAGAAGACAAAGAAAAAGAAGAAGGCGAAAGAGGAGGAAGAAGAAGAGGAGGTGGAGGAAGAGAAGAAGATGAAGGACAAAAAAGAGGAGGAGGAAAAGGAGAAGAAGACAAAGAAAAAGAAGAAGGCGGCAGCAGTGGCAGCAGAGGAGGAGAAGGAAGTGTTGGAGAAGGATGAAAGCATGATTAAGGAAGAGCTAGAAAGTTTGAGTGAGAAAAAGGAGGAAGAGGCGCAAAGTTCAATGGAAGAAGAAGTACACAAGGAAAAAGAGATCTTTAAAAAAGAAATATTATTTAAGTTACAAGAAAAAAGAAGAAAGGATCTAGAAAGAAAAGAAACAGTCCCTTCTATTAGAAAAAGAACTCCTGAGGTCAAAGGCAGGGATATAAACCTGGAAATTCCAAAGATCCCTTCCAAGAAACTAATCTCAATAGCTCTGGGGAGGGCAAAGACTATACCAGTGCCAGAGTCTAAGAAACAAATATCCTGGAAAGATAAGGCCACACTACTTGAGACACCCAGGATATTCCCAGAGACAAAGTTTATGGAAAAGCAACGTGAACTATTGAAGAAATATCAGCCCATTCCTCTACAAGTTTTGGATACAGTTTTGGAGTCCCAAGAGCCAGATTTCAAGACCCCATATTTATCCCACATATTTAGGAAGAGCAAAAAAGAACAGAAACTCCAAGGGAAACCACTAGGGGATAGGTGGCAGTTGCTTTCGAAGCGTCATCCAGCTCTGATGGGACAAACTAAGGTACCTGTGCCCCAAATCCCGGCTGAGGAAGTATTTGCAGATGTAAGCCTCTCAGATATAGAGTGGATCCACCATGTCCTAGAACAGATAGAGTCAGGAAAACAGCTTTCCAGAGATAGTTTCCACAGATTGTGTCAGCTTGTCAAAAACCTTATCTCAAAGGGAACCTTAGAGTGGATGCATCTAGCCAAACTTGAAGCTATCATTTACCGTCACAGGCAGGTTCTGGAATCACAAAGCACATGTATCTCAAAACCCAGTACGAAGCTCATGGGTCCTAAATACTTGAAAGTGATCCCTCCTATAAAAAGAAAGGAAAAGGAAAGCCATCTAAAACCTTTGGCTTTTTCCTCATTAGCTAACAAAAGGATTCCAGACCCAAAGGCTATAAATTGGCAACTTCTAGGAGAACCTTACAGGAGTGCACGGGCAGAGCAGATATTCAGTGCCCTTAAGGATATGGAGAAGCAACACGTTTATCCTGCTACAAGAGACATTGTCACAGGTACCCATGCCTCTGTAGAAAAACAGATGCTAGCACTGATGTTTCAAAAGGACTTCTGGGCTTTTAAGGATAAAGGCAGGTTTCCCAGATTGCCCAAGATGGAGAAGATGACACAGCCCAGCTCTAAAAAACAGGAAGAAGTGCCTCTATGGGAGACATTTGTGGCACTCTACCATGTTTTACGGATGTTGCAGGAGCGATACGCAGGAGACAGTGCTGCTTGGACAGAAAAATTCTACCACCTCATGGACCTGTACCAATTTAAGTCCCCTGGAATCCAGAGATTGCTACAGGAACTGCTACTGAGAGAGGAACCCCAATCCCGTAAGATCATCTACAAAGAGGCCCTAAAGGCCATAGAGCTGGTTCCTGGGGAGCGATTGTTCTACCACCTATTTTGTGGTCGTTCTCACATCCCTAGAGGTCCTCTGGAGTTCCAGGAGGTGGTGTCTCTCTCAGGGCAGAACAATGTGCATACTATGCTTTCCAATGGGCAT